AACTTTACCACACAAAAAGTTACAGAGAGCAGGGGAATATAAAGCTTTGTGACCAACACAAGTCCAAAACCAGAAAGGCAAACGTTATGTTCTGTAGGCAAAATGGGAGCTCCAAAATCCTTACATTTTTTTCACGCTAACAAAACTTTGGGCTTTAGTTTCCATGGCTTGTCTCTCAAGCTGGATTTTCACCCTCCTTGAGGCTTCCCTTAGATGATCCACATTTCTGGCTTTTCTGAAATTCTGTGGTTTCCAGTGAATAGCTGTCTCACTCACAACATTATGCACTGCCCTCCTGAGTACACTGCCTGGACTCGAAGTTCGTCTTCGGAAATCTAGGTGGAAGCTTTCCTAACCTCTGAATGCTGCATTCTAAATGCATGCAGAATAGAAGCTAAAAGCATGAGGCCAAGGTTTGCTGCCTGCTTGAGCAGGGGCCAGGATTTCCCTTCTCTTGGCTGTATGGGTGGAGTGCCTGAATTACTGAGCACTATGACACTGATTTTGAGGAATACTTTCTCTATTTCCACCTTATTATGTAACCGGTGTGGTCATTGTCTCCATTCAGGAATGTTAGGTTCTTTGGCTTTCTCCTCAAGGCAAAGCCCATCACCTTACAATTCTAAGACTGTAAATGGTGAACAGCAGCTGTGATGAACTCAGGCTATCCTTCTCTTGCTCTTTCTTAGAAATGGAATCATCTCAGTGTTATCTTTACATTCTACAGCTTTATTGGAACTTCCTTTCTCTACATACTCACAATATTTTAAATTGTCCTTTTGGTCTCTTTACTATTGATTCTCAACATAAATCTGACTAAATGCCCCAAACAATAGCCAGGACACGGACTCAATATTTGACTGCTTTGAGATTTCATTTGCAAGATTAAGTAATCCATCATGTGTAATCTCAGTCTCAGGCAAAATATCTTGACATGATCAAAATTCACACACAGTTTATGAGAAAACAAAATGCACGTCATCTGGAATCCAATAACCAATGAAGTCATTCTTCAGAGCACAAACCTCCCCTGACTCATCTTTGCAGGAAAGGTTTGCATCAGCATTCTGGTCTTCCAAGCTCTGAACATAGTCTCCTACACAGGACAGCTGAAGATATTCCAGTGGTTATCTTGTAGGAAAAATCTCTCATACTTTCCTATCACTTCCCATAAGCCATTTACAAGCTGGCAACCCACAAGTTCAGGTTTATGTACAGCAACACACCAATTTTCCACTATAAAATTCTGTCTTGGTTAATTTTCTGTCATTTCGGAGACAAATATCCGAAATCCAGAAACAAGAGAAAGATGGTTTCTTTGGCTCACAGTTAGTGGATGTTTCAGTTTATATACAGCTGAGTCCAAGGCACACTGGCACATGGCAAAGGTCAGCGGTTCACGATAGCAGAATACAACAAAACGACAAGAGCAAATGGGAGGAGTAAGAATAACTATTTTTACAGAGAGCAAGTTGATATCCCTTAAGTTCCATTCAAGCTATCTGCCTCAGTTGGCCTATAGTACTCACACCCATAATCTCAGCAGTGCTCACACCCAGAATCCCAGTGGATGATGATTTAATCACAAACTCTAGAAGTTCATCACATACATGCAGTAGGCCAGGTACCTACCCACTAAGATCAATAAACACTTCATATACTGGAAACATGTGCTAATAAAAAATTGTACATACTCAAACAGCTATACATATTTCTAATGCTATTCTCCCATTTTCAAGTTATCTTAACCATTTGACAGTCACATTTTAATATAATTCTTTCACATTGATAAACATTAATGTAATATTCATAAAAATTTCATAAATGAAATAATCAGTAACATGTTCAGCCTCACTAAATATTAAATGGTTAATGAATAGTCAAGATATAGGTCATTCTTGTTTGCCAGCACTACCAGGAAATATCGGTAAAGGAAAATTTTATGCTTGAAGAAAATGTACCTGTGGTTTGAAAACAATGTTTTCAGTATTTGAGTCTCAATTATCCAGTATTTCAAAATGTTAACACATTCTTGATTTTATGTTTTACAGTTAGAAGTCCTTACCCGTCTTTCCTGCTACAAGAAAATCCCTTAAACTGGATCATTTATTATATATGTATTCTTTTGTTGTAGATCTTGAAATCTCCAAGATCAATATTCAAGCATGGTGAAGCCTTGCTCACTCTTGCTGAAGTCGCTCAAGGAAAAGGTATGAACAGGGAAATCATAAAGGAGAACTGTGGCTCTGGCCTGATAGTTCAGCAAACTACAGCATCTGGTTAGGCAGAGCTCAGCAAGCGGGTTTCCTTGCCTGGTATGTCCTGACATCCCCTTCCATGGGGCACCCTGAGATGGCATTTGAGGCTGGGTGTCATGGCACATGCCTGAAATCCCATCGCTTGTGAGACTGAAACAAGGAGAATCACTATAAGTCCGATCCACGTAGTGAGACCCTGTAGACTTCTTAGACACTTTCCTAAATACAGAAAATAAAAATAATAAAATAAATGAGGGAGAACTGTGTATCAGCATACAAGCTTAAAGTATGAAAAGGTTGACCCTTGGAAATAAATTTACACTGCAAATGATATAAAAGTGTTTTAGGTTTGTGGAGAAGAACAGAAAGGACAAACCACGTCCTTTAGGAACATTTATAGGGGCCCTTATTATTTTTGTCAGGGATGCACTCACCTGACTTAACTTTCAAAGACCCCGTGACTTAGTACTACAGCACATCAACTGGGGGGAGCATTCAGATTTTATCATCTCCCTATGCCTTTCAAATGGTATCTAATGAGTACGGATGTTAAAAATCTGCTTATTTGATGAGATATTCACATTGTATTAGTTCATGAAGGAAAATTGGGCTATTTCTAGACACACATGTATTTTTTTCCTATGTAATTTAGTACAGGGTCTACAGGGTCTCACTACACAATTTGCACTTGTAGCGGCCCTCCTGTTTTCAGACTCCGAGCACTGGATTATGGGTGCCTGCCACCATGCCCCTCTCCACATTTGTTTTCCTAAACTTATTTTTACACTCTTAGTAGATAGAACCAAATACATAAACTATCTCAGTCCAGTTCTCCTTTACATTTATCTACATGTTGTGACAGAAATTACCTTGGATTATTAGAGTTTTGAAAAGCTAAATAACGTACATTTTCGTTCAGATACATTTACTGCTCCTCCATGGAGAAGGTAAATGGCATTTATTAAAATTCAGTATTATCTTCCTTGCTTTTTCTTCTTTAAGATAAGTCTTGTTGTAACCTATATAGAAAAGAGCCTTTGAAAACAGAGATCTCTTCAGGGAAAATGGGAGATTTATTAGTTTCATGACTCCATGAATAAAATTAACTTTACAGTGGTGGAAAGTTTGAGTAGGCTTTCTAGCTGTCCATGAAACACTGAGGCTGCTCATCTATGACACAAATCTTTTGCCTGTGAAGCACCCACATGATCTGATCTACATCACTTCCAAGGATATAGCAGGCAAAGCCAACCATTATGAAAGAAGCTAATGATGTTGTTTTTTGACTAAAAAAGAACACCGTCTTTAATCCAGGATTCCATGTAACTCTAACACCTTCTTTTAAAAATATGACAGATAAATACCTCGGTTTGAAACCTATACCTCACATTATTCTTGAGTAAATAAGACAAATTTGAGTCCAGTATACATGTGGAGAAGCCCTCTGGAGAGCAAAGGATGGTGTGGGGAATCATTTTTGTATTACTTTAGTTCTTTAAAGGCAGCACTGCAAATGAGAGGAAAGTCCATAGTAGAATAACAACTTTTTACCTTATAAGCTATAGAAAAATTCACACATGTCACCCCATGATCTCATGTATCATCATGTCTTCAAAATGATCATTCTTTCTTTGCCCACCTATACTGAAAAACAACATTTTCAAATGAACTTTATTTTATTCTGATCTTCTTGATCACTAGAATTCTGAACCACTTAAGCAAATATTTACACATTTTAGTTTATTTTTAGGACAATGTATAACAATGGCAAGGACACAGACCACATAAAACTCAATAAGTATATCAATGTTCAAAGGCCATTATCAAAATTGAGATAGATGGTGCTTCTATTATGCATGGTAACTTGTTGAAAATTTTCCCAAGATAAAATTGCCAGATACCATTCCCAAATTAAATTAAAAATAGGATGTGCAACCTTCTTCATTGTTGAAGTGGGCATCCCATGGGCATGCCTGCTGGACTCAACAAATCTATCAATAACCTTTTAACTTTCCTATGTCCCTTGACTGTTGGTGAGTACCTGTGCTAGAATGGCACTGGTCTCTTACATGTCACACGTTGAATGGTGGAGGAGAAAAAGTCAGGATGGAAAAAGTGAAGGGGGTATAACAATGAAAGATGCAGAACACTGGAAAGTAAACAATTTACTTGAAAAACCTCTAATGCATTTCATTTCATGGTGAGCCAAGTATCTCAAAATGTAAGATACAGATGAACGATAATTTTGATGCAAACCAAAACTTCTAAAGAGCAGGTCCTGAAAAACTGGTTCCTAACTGGCAGTATAATGCTTATGAGGTTTTCCTATGGGTTGCCACATTTTGAACTTTCCAGGTTTAAAACATTTCCAAGCCCATGTAAAATTGTTGTTGTCTCAAAGTTACCACCTGCTCTTGTCCTTGCTTAGTTTTACAATTTTAAACCAATGAAGAAATCGTATATTTAAAGCCAAAATAAAACAAAGTTGCTTTGTCTCTTTCCCTCATAATCCCAGAGATCTCCTCTCTGTCAATTCTTGCTTCTCACCAACTATCCAAACTCCCTTCATTAATCAGAGAACCCCAAAACTTCTCCCCACATAACTTAATATGATACATGTAAAATATATGCCCACCAATATGGGAGACTGTATCTTTAAAGAAAACAATCAAGGGACAACCAATTAATTGTACTGCAAATTTGGACTTTATTGTTTTGCCAAACGGGTTTGTGTTGGAATTCTCACATGGCAAACTTCTCTGTCCATTTTCTGGCTATTCGGTCATATTCTCTTCTATTGGTCAGATATATCTTGGCAATCCCGGGAACCATGGGATCCTCAGTGTTGGGGTCACACAACAGGGAATAGATCGATATGAGTAATTTCGAAATTGTGAGTACAGGTGACCACTCGTGCTTGAGGATGTCTAGACAGATATTTCCATTTCGACCAATATTTGGATGAAAAATTCTGGTGGAGAATGTTACCTTGGGTGGTTTGAATGGATAGTCCGAAGGAAACTGCAAATTTAAGACAAAAACACCTCCTTGGTAGGGGCTATCATTGGGACCCATTATGGTCCCCTGCCAGAGAAACATGTCCTCACCGACAGGCCCGGCCGAGCAGTGGGTTGGTGGATCATGAGCGAGATCACGGAGCTCTTTTTGAAGTCGCTTAAGAGCCATTCTATTTAATTCTTGGGGCCTCAAAATTGGCGCAGGTCTTGGGGCCTGTTCCAGGTCATTGGTGTTGTTGGGCTTCAAGGAACACATCTAAAGGCTGAAGCGACAGTTTCGTGGGTTAAGGACTTATTCTCTGGCTCTACAAGCTGCTGGCAAAGGCTCCCTGGAATGAAAATGGCGGAAGCAGACAGCTGGTGTCTGTAGCTATGTCACCTTAGCTGTTTCTTTTCACCTGTGGCTTGAGGCCTCCTCCCGCAGTGTGATTCTTTAAGTTTGAGAGTCTACAGTCTGGCAGAGTGCTATCTGTTTATAGCAGATGGCTAAAGAAGCTAGAGTTCCTAGCTAGCACACCCACTTCGCTGCTGTATCTGGTCCCTCAAGTCAGGTCACTGTTACTGCTGGAATTCTGTAAGTGAGGTAACAATGGCCTCAAAGAATGCGTCACAGGTAGGTGGGGACTGACGCAGGTGGGTTGGGGCGGGGCAGTGAAGAGGGCTGGCAATAAATTGTGCAGCTGCATTCAAATGTCTCACCCAGTACTTGTTCCATGGACTGCCAAGGAAGAACTCTCAGGAATCAAAATAAATGAGTTTCACTAATTATCCCCTGCGTCTTTCCTCAGAGTCAGTGTCCATCTTTATTTATGACACTCTGTTTTTTCTACATATCTATCTTTCAGTATAAGTGCAGCATGCTACAAAATTTAATGGCATATTTATCTCCTAGGACACATAAGCTGTGCATAACTATCTTAAGGAAATTCAATATTTAGATAATAATTTTTAAAAATTATAGTGTTCGTCAAAGTTTATGTTTTATTCAAATACACTGTGTACAGAAATTAGATGTAGAATTAAAACCAATAAGAATTTTTAATCACGCTTCAGATAACTGAGATGGAGGACCGAACTGAGAGAAATTGTTGCTTTATCCTCCATAAACTTATAGGTAAACGTAGCACCATTGTACTCATTATATCTTACTTAATATTGTATCTGTATTCACTTTGTGAACTTATAAGTCATTCATTTTTTTACTTTTAAAGAGAACACAAAATAACAGCAATAAAAAACTAGAAATGATGCAGAATTTCACTAAAGAAACCATATGAATATCACAGTATTGTAAATTGTGCTGTCTTCAAGTTAGTTGTGTATGTTATCAAGTCTATGCATGCAAAATTGGAAAAGAAAAGAATAAAACACCCTCAAGCCTTAACTACCTCTTCCCATAGACCAACAGCAATCGACAGTACAGTTATTCCTGCCATCGTTGCACACATTCATAGATGTATCGCTTCCCCAAGAAACATCCTGCTCCTGTCCTTCAATTCATCCCTTTAACTCGTTCTTTTTGAACAGATTCATTGCCATTTCTGAGTATCTATCATACCTATCAGATCTTATTTATTCTTTAGTGTTCTTACACTAGGTAGACAATATGATGTTTGCTCACGCAGGACTGATTCATTTCACTTAATATTAAGGACTCTAGTTTCATCATTTATTGATAAAAGCTTCAAATGTATCCTTTGTATTACAGAGTAAGACTCCATCGTATAAAATACCACAATTTCTACATCCATTCCTTTTTTATGAGCATTTTCACTATTTCCAAGATTTAGCTATGACAAATTGTGCTCCTATAAATATGGATGCACATATGTTGTTTTTGTTTTTATTTGCAAAAATACCCAGAATTGAATTAGCTGGCTGGGTGGAAAATACAATCCCAGTTTTTTGAGCCATCTCTACACTGATTTCCATAGTGTTTGATCCTGTCTAAACTATCACAAGCACTGAATGAGGGCACCTTTGACCCATGATCTCTCCAGCACTTGTTGTTAGTTGAATGCTTGATGATGGTCATGCTTTGGGTGATGAGAATGAGTCTCAGTGTTATTTCAATTTTCAATAAATTATACTCTTAATGTCTTGTAAAAGATGCAGGCTTCTATCAGATATATTATTATTCATTTTTATCTGTGTAGACTCCTTCAGTCTGGAACATCCCTACTAATATTTTTGAAAAATGCAGCATACCCTGAAACATTCATGCTCATTTTCAAGTGTTAAATTTTCATATTAAATTTAGTGAATTTGAGAGCCAGGAAGAGATCAGTAAAAGGGACTGCTTAATATTGTTTTATGAATGCTGTAGTTACAATAATAGGAAATTATGAGTATAAATGTTCTATTGATTTTTGGACACAGAATCTATATTCCCTTCAATGGAAATTTGTATTCTTCTTTTCTATTAAAAATTGAGAGAGGAATATGCCTTTTGACTACATTTTCAAATACTCAAAAGGTGGAAATGTCATGTTGGCCACATAAGTTATATCTCCTTCACCAGAAATCTGTATTCCTCTTTACTATGTAAAATTGAGAAGTTGATAAATCTTGTGTTTACATTTTCAAATACCAAAAGGGTGGAAAGTTCCTGTTGTGTGTATTTCTTCTGATTTCACGGTAAGTTTTCTGTGTTAAATACTATAAATACATTTCAATTATTTTCCTTTTTATTTCATTTTTATGGGGGTTTGCCTTAGTCTGCCCTGAGGGCATGACTGTCAAGACATTTGTTACTGGGAATTGAAAGGCTGTCCACTCTGCCTGCCTAAGCTTGCCTAAGCAAACACTTTAGAACACTGTGCTATCACGTTCACTCTCAATATACTTTAAAAACAATTATTCCATCACTCTTTTCACTTTCTGAAGTAGCCTTGCAAGCGGTCATTTGGGAATATCAAACTATATTCTTGTTCGTTAATTCAATAAAAAATTTTACTCATCATATTAATTTTGACTGAGAAAGAAAGAGTTAGAAATCACACAGGGTCATATACAATTTATGAAAATGCAGTGCAATGTATTTGTGTGTCTGCTTTCTGGTGGATCACACTTTAGCAGCAGCACTTATTGTACATTTTTTATCACAGCTCACAATCACTAAAATTATA